CATTGTTCATCTTTGCATCGTCTTGCAAGTGATGAATTATTTTTTCCTGTATCTTCATTGTTTTTAAGAGATCTTTTCTTACCTTTTCACTAGCTGCACCAGTGTCTTCAAGATCTGAAAGTCTGTTTTCACTTTCACTCAAACAGTTTTCCAAGTTTGTGGTTGAGATTTTAAGTTCCTCTATATCTCTTTGACTCTGCTTCATGTGATCTATTTCTTTCCTGTATTGCTCACTCAAGGAATCCATTATTTTTCTAATCTCCTCTTTTTTTAATCAATGTCTTCTTTAGAAGGAGTTATTAATTCTTTTAATGTAGCTTTTTTTTCAGATTGGGTTTCCTCCCTATGTTTCTGTATTTGATTCTTTACTTCAGATGCTATGAGTTCAGAGATTTCTTTTATTTCAGAAATTAATTCTACTGAGTTCCTCTATATCTTTCTGCTGTTGCTTATTTACTTTTGACACTATTAATTTATACATTTCAGCTGAGCTAGTGTCCTTTGCACTTGTTTGAGTGGGCATTTGTTTTCCTCCATATATTTCTGCATTTGATTCTTTACTGCAGATGCTATTAATTCAGGGATTTCTTTTTTTATTTCCTATCTGAGTTCCTCTAAGCCTTACTGCAGTTCTTTCTTTATTTCAGAAGCTCTTGATTCATTGATTTCAGCTGTGTGATTCCCAATTTGTTCTGTGCTACTGTCCTCTGCACTTGTTATGAGTGGGCTTGGTGTCTGCGATTGCATTTTGCTCCTTCTCGTCATTTTATGTAGCACTGTCTTCTGACCTTTGTTGTAGATCTTCGTTGCAGTTATAACCTTAGCACGTACTGAAATTCAGGTGAAGATCTACAAAGTTTGGATTTATCCAGCTGTGCCTGGCTTGGATCTGGCTGCTGTGCTCAGCTCCTTCCTGCTGCCACCCTTGGGAGTGAACCTGTTGTGTCCCTCTGGCAAGATGTTCTGCTCCTGGCCTAGCTGGGTGGTTCTGTCCCTCCTCTCTCTCTCTGCAGGGGCTCCAGCTGCAGAGTTTCACCCCAGGCCTGTATGCCAGGCCTGAGCTGAGTCTGAAGGGGACAAAGGGGTGTAGGGGAGGGGAGAAGCTCTCCAGCACACTCACTGGGCCTGGGCTAGGGCTGGATCTGGGGGTCCTGAGAATGTGGCAGAAGTGAGTGGGGGTGCTGCCACTGTGTGGATTTCTTAGCTTTATAATAGGACTCAAAATCAAGTAACATTAGACTTCCAATTTTGTTTTTCTTTTTCAAAATTGTGCTGGTTATATTAAGCCTTTTGAATTCAAATATAAGTTTTAAAACTATTTTGTCTATTTCTATTAAAATCTTGCAGTAATATTGATCAGGAGTGCAGATAATTCAGGGATAACTGATATCTTAACAAATGTTGATTTTTTTTCCTATTTTTTATATTGAGATACAAATAGCAATGAGACAGTTTCAAAACAGATTAATAGGACAGTTTCAATAACTAATACATTGCACATTGCTATCTTCTTAGTGGTTATCCATAGTACAAGATGCAGACAGGATATCCTGTCCAAACACTATTAGTACAAATGTTTTTTCTCACTGAATTAAGTGAAAGTAGCTGTATATCTCTCCTAACTATTCTGCATGTACAGATACAAAATGGTCCTTCCTTTGTATCCCTTTTTTTTTGTTTAGTCCTGTCAGAGATGGGTATTCCATTGGCATCCAAATACTATAGGTGTGTGAACTGTGGAATCTTTTGATGTATGACTATCATATGCCTTTTCATTTACTTGTGCTTTAATTTTCTTAGTAATGTTTCATAGTTTCCAGGGTACAAGTTTGCATATTTAGGGGTCAAATTTCATTTTATGTTGTCATAAATGATACTGGTTTTGTATTTTTAGTGTCAGATTGGTTGTTCCTACTATATAGAAATATGTGAATGATATGTGTATACTGTTATTGCAGCCTACAACTCAAATAAACTCACTGATACATCAGCTTTAACTTAAATTTCACTATTTTTTGGTACATTGTATATGATTTTCTATATGATCATGTTACCCGTGAACCAAAACTATTTTACTGCTTTTTTTTAAAACCAATTTAAATGCTTTTAAATTATGTTTCTTGCCTTATTATTTTGCCTAGAACTTCCATACCAAGGCCAAATGAAAGTGGTAAGAAGACAGTTCCACTGTTTCTGTGCTTTTCAAAAGGGGAAGCATTCAGGCTTTTACCAGTGAGTACGGTACTGGGTCTAGATTTCCCAGCATGCCCTTCCCCAGGGTGAGGAATCTCTCTTCCAATTGTTCACTGAGAGTTTTTATCATGAGTGGATGTTGCATTTTTGTCAAATATTTTTTGCACATCTCTACTGAGATGGTCCTATGGCTTTTCTTAATATTTAAAAAAGGTAAATCAAACTGGTATTTTTTAAATTTAAAACTATTCTTGTAAGCCCTACTTAATCATACTGTATTATATTTTAATATATGTTAATTATCTAAAGGTTTGTTCAAAATTTTTGGAACTCTGTCCATAAGGAATACTTGTATATAGTTTTTCATTTGCTTTCTTTATCTTTTTTCTTTTTCTTTCTTTTCTTTTCTTTTTTTTTAGGGAAGGGTCTACAGGGTGTTCAGGTTCTCACTACTAGATCAGACCCATAGTTATCTGCCTGTTTACAGCCTCCCAAGAGCTGGTCTTCTCCCCGCCCAAATCAGGGCTATATTAACCTCATAGAAAAGTTGGAATATCTTCTTTCTCTTTCAACATTCCAGAAGAATCCACATAGAACTGGTATGATCTTTTTTCTTAAATATTTAGTAGTATTTAAAGTAAACCTATCTGGGCCTGATGTGTGCTTTGTGAGAATGCTTTCAATGAAAAATTCAATTTCTTTGTGTTGAGCTATCCAGTTATCTCTTCCTGAGTGGGTGTTGGATTTGCCTACTACATCTGAAGGGTCAAATTGAAATCATTCTCTTATTATCTTTTTTTAAAAAATGTATTTAGTACAGGGCCTACAGGATGTCACTACACAGACTGGACTTGTAGTGACCTTCCTGTTTTCAGCCTCCCAAGCGCTGGGATTACAGGCATGCCCAGTTTCAACTGCTGTCTCAGTAGGCAGGGCTGACACAGCACGCTGGAGATCAAACCCTGGTCCCTGCATCTGCCTAAGCAGGTGCTTTAGTCTGCTGAGTTATCTGGCCGGCCCTCCTCTTATTATCTTTTCAATATCTGTAGAATCCTGGGAGATAGTTCATCACTCATTTCCAACATTAGCTACTTATGTCTTATCTTTTTTGTTTAACAAATCTGACTAGAAAAGTCTAAATTTATTGATTTTCTCAAAGGATGATTTTTGGTTTTGTCAACTTTCTTTTTTAATTTTCTGGTTTTTATTCCACTGATTTCTTCTCTGATCTTTCATTTCTATTCTTCTACTTATTTTGGACTTAGTTTGTTCTTTTTCTACTTTTTGCATGTAGTGATGAAGGTCATTTATTTAGTCTTTTTCTTTTCATATACAGGTACTCAGTACTACAAATTTCCCACTAGGGTCTGAATTGCTAACTTCTTAAATTTTTAAAAATATTTTTTCCTTTAGTTCCAAGTACTTTCTCCTTTGACTTCTTCTGTGGCTTAGAGTTATTTGAGTGTGAGATATATATTTTCCAAATACTTGAGGTTTTCCAGATACCTATGTTTTAGTTTTAAAAAATAAAGTTCATGTAAGACAAAACTAGCAATTTTAAGTTTATAATTTAGTGGTAATTAGTAAATTAACAAAATTTTGTAATCATTCATTCTCTTTCTCTAGTTCAACATTGTCTTCACTCTGAAAGGAAACCCAGTAAGTTATTCCTCAGAATTTCCATTCTGTCCCCTAGCAATGATTCTTTTTTCTGTGTTTATGGGTTTATCTGTTCTATAGTTCCGTTCTCAGTTCCTGATTTAATTCCACTGAGACAGCAGTGTATGCTTTGTATCACCCAGGTCTTCTAAATTTATTGCGACTCCTTTCATGGTCCCAACTATGGTCTATGATGGAAAAAGTCTCATGCACATCAGCCAATGTTACTTTGATGCCATTATGTGCTACCCTTTATAAATATCTATCAATCATGCTGGTTGACAGTCTTCAAATTCTCTAAGGTTTTGCTGGTTTTCTGTCTTCTTATTCCACTGATAATTGAGAAAGGTATATGGAAATCTCTGGCAATAATTATAGATTTGTCAGTTTTTCTACTGCAGTCTAGCAGTTTATGCTTCATTTACTTCAAAAATCTGTCATCAAGTACATAGATATTTAAGTCACCATGGCCTCTTACGGCTAGATTCTTCACTCTAGCTGTGACGTGAATTTTCATATCCCCGATAATGCCTGCTCTGAAATCTCCTCATGTGAGGTTAATGTAACCACCTCAAATTTCTTTTGATCAGGGCTAGCATATCTTTTCATCCTTTTACTTCTCACAGATTTATATTTTTGAAGAAGCTTTCTGTGGGGGACACTGAAGCTCCCCAGCCCAGGTGGGGGAGTGGATGTTGATCCTTTCCAGAGTGAACACTAAGCATGGCTTCCTGTAATCCTTTTGACTGGTTCTTCCCCAGCCTTGGGCAACTTCCCCCCAGGAATGACTCGTCCTTAGCTGGACACTCTGTGTCATCCCTTGAAGATCTCCATGTGCCGCTCTTTCCTGGGACTTGATCTTCCAACTCTAGCTACTTCTGTCTTCCTGTGCTCTTCACTGCACCCCCTAACTAAGAGTCTGGGCTCCCCTCCCCCTAGTCCCAGTGAGCCTGGACCCTAGCTCGGGAGTTACTGTTTGTCATGCTGGAGTTCAGAGTTTTGAAAATCCTGTTTCATATAGTTTGGTCATTTCAGAGGAGAGAAACGGAGGGCCAGAAGCAGAGGTCAGCTGTGTTTTATGGTACTGAGGTTCTAGATGTTGCTGGTAATGACAAAGATGTGCTCAAGAAGCCAGGACTTGTACTTACATCTTGAAAGGCTAGCAACCCTTGAGTCCTGTGGAATATCTCTTCTTCCTCAGCTGCAGCTTTCTGGACCAAGTCATATTCTTCCAAGCGATATGCAATATTTTGTTCCCCTTCTTTCTCGATTTTGCTACATAACCTTTATAGATATACGAATGGAATTTAGAGCAAAGATGTTAAGTATTTGTCATTAGTACTGATATATAAATATATCATCTCCACATCATTATACTATGTATTTTCTTAATACTCAAAATTTTGTAATTATGTGTTTTGATATAAAACTATGCCCAAGATATTAGCAAAGATTAAAACACAGAACGACACAGTAAGTGCACTCTGACACTACACCTGTGAGAAAGGAAACCTGCGCCCCAAAGGCATCTGACAAGGCAACAGCACACCAGGCTGCTGGCTGACCATGTGGCTTCCTGCTTTCCCGCAATCCCAAGAGGGTGCTGTACTCCATTGGGACATGACTCTGGTTGGACTTCCTAGGTGTCAGTCTTCCATCCCTCACAAGGGCTCAGGAAAGCCTGCTTTTGGAGTTGCTTGTATATAAACAGGCAGGTGGGTACTCATAGTAGATGGAAGGTGGCAGAGTTGAGTGCAGAGGGTATCTGTGAGGTGTTGTTCGTTTGGGGTTGGATGTACCCTGGAAGCAGGATAGGGCTGGTGTGGATGGTTCCAGGGTGTGCATGAGTAGGACCCTTATGTGAGCACATGTAAGTCTGCCGGGGGTGGGGTGGGGTAGGGGGTTCCTTCCTCAGAGGCTGAGTGGCATACTGCAAAGGTGGGGTGCGGGCAGGGAGGAGTCAAAGGCAGGACTCGTGGAGGCTATAGGTTTCTGAAATGTGTCCCTAGGGGGAGGGTAGGCAACCACAGGGTCAGGACCAGGAGGTCCCTGGGAGACCTCTTGGGTGGTGCTGAGTTAAGAGGAAACCTGGGAATGGTTCAGGAGAAACAGTGAGATGTCAGTAGGAAGAGCTGCTTGGGACCCTGAGGGACTGCAGGGGGTGAGGGGCACTGGGAACAAGGTCTTCGATCCATGAGGTAGGTCTTGGGGAGCAGCAGCCACAGAGTGCGAAGGGCTGTGGCCAGTCCTGCCGTGGGAAGCAAACCACAGGCAACCCCGCTGTCACCGGCAGCATCAGAGCTGAGTCCTCACCTCTTTATCTTTGCGCGCTCTAGCTTTATATCCACACAGTGTTCCTTGTAGCCACAGCTGATAAATGTTTCCTCAGTGTCCAGAAGGCATCTGTCCAACTCTTTCAGCAACGCTAAGCACTCAGGGAATTCGCTGTCGGCTGAGTCCCGGATGAGTTGGATCTGAATGCTCACACACCTGCTGGACAGATACCTGTCAGAGGGTGTGGGGCCACAGTCCCCACATAGAAGCTTCAGACTGTGGTAACCCTCACTGTGGCCAGTGTGGGCCCCATGTTGCTGGATCCAACTCATTCCAGCCTTGCCACACACCAGACGTTTACAGCTATATTCTTGATCATGTGAGTTGAGACCAACAAGTCCAACTCTCTGCACTAGATTCAATGCAAAATTATCATGCACACTCCCAACTGACCAGCACATGGGTAAAGGGATGAACTGTGTCTGACCAAACCCAAGTGACACTGCTGATAGATGCAGGGGCTCCAGAGCTGTGGGAAAGATGCGGAGGAAACTGGAGCTGGAGCTGCTTCTGCAAAGCCAGGGGAGCCCCCTTGCTCTGAGGCCCACGGCCTCTTGTCCAAGCCATGCAGTCTGCACATACAGATGCAGGCCCACTTCTCAGAGGAAGCTGGAGGGGACACAGGGACTTCTGTAGTCCCTGGAGTCAGGAGAGGGGGTTGTGGACGTGTTAGGTCTCAACCTCCCTGGGTATGAAATACAACATTAAAGGTAGCAGGTAGGAAAGTAGCCGTGAGCCTCTCAGGAACTGGCACTGCTACCTGGCTTCCAGATCTGTGGTGATGAACTCCAGCACGGGCATTCGGTTAGGCCTTTCTTTCTGGAGGACTTTGAAGGTAGCTATGAGTTTTTTAAATAGACAGCAAACCTGCAGATAACCAACATCAATATTACTGTAGGGCCAGGGACAGCAAGGTCACCCTAGCCGCTGTGTGCCCCCACTGAGCACCAGACTGGAAGTACCCAACATGTCCCTTACCACCTTTCTTCCCTCATCTTCTGTAGACAAGATGGCATCTGCCAAAGTCAGGGTTGAATTGTACCAAAACTCCTCATTTCCACCCAGTGTCTGGGCTTTCTCGATCATTTTCTTAGCTTGGCCATGGTTGTTTTCCTTGTTGGCCAACTGTGCTAGAAGGAACAGGCACTGTGATTCTGCACAGGGATCATCGAGCTCCTGAAGAGAGGATAGGTAGATAGATAGATAGATAGATAGATAGATAGATAGATAGATAGAAAACTTGTGGGCTTCCTTGGACACCAGGCCTTTCTGTCTGGCTGTGGGGCTTCTGTGGCAGCTGGAGTCTCAGGCCCCAAGTTTACCCTTGAAAGAGAGGTGTGTGTGTGTGTGTGTGTGTGTGTGTGTGTGTGTGTGTGTGACTGAAGGACACAGAACAAGCTTGTTTCCCAGTCAGAAGTGTCATGGCTGTGTGCAGGGGAAACAAGCAGCCTGAGAGGTGGTGGACCAACGGGCGCCTCACCTGAAAAGCCAGGCACGCCTCTGACAGGAGCAGCCGTGCTGGCTGGTACAGGTCCATCTCCAGCAGGACCTCTGCCTTGAGCATCCACAACTGGGGATAGGATGTGCCGTCTAGGCCCTTCCCGGTCTCTCCATCTATCTTCAAAAGCTGTAAGATACATGGCCCTAAACGGTCAGGGTTTGTGTCCGTGTCCTGTGTGACATGTTTTGGTGAAGGTGGGCCTTTCCTTCAGTGCTGAAGCTCAGGCAGACCACAGGCCTCTACCCTGCTGCCATTTGCCTCCGGGCCACCTGCCTCTCCTCACTTTTTCCCTTGTAGCCACCTGAGGCTTCCACTAGCTTCGGCGCAGGCACTGCCTCTGTGGCACCAGCACTCTCCTCCCTTCTCTGTATGTCCTGACTGATTTGGATGGGCCTGTAGTGCAGTTCCACAAGGTCCATGACTGACCCAGAGCCCCTGGACTTGGGTCACCTGCTAAGCCTTGGTCCCACTGGAGGAGGTCACACACTCTGAGGCCTGAGTTCTTTCTTACTGCATTACAGATGTAGACTTCCAGATGTCGAATGACCCTCAAAGCCTGGCGCTCTGGAGAATCAGTTCCTGGTGGATGAGCCTGGTAGCTAGAAAGGCTATTTTTTTTTGGGACAAACTTGGAAAGGTAAGCCTGCTGGTCTCTAGGAGACAGCCAGTTGGCGATAAGTCAACATGGGTCTCAAGAGGCCAGCCCAGCCCCGAGGTACATGCTCTGTTCCATAAGAAACCCCTGTTCTCTTCTAGCTGCCTAGGCCCCTGGCAGACCCGTCCCATGGCAGTCTGGGGTACACGTACACGTCATCTTCTCTGGAGATTCCTAAGGCCCTAGGGTGGGAACATACTTGATCAGGCTCCGGCTTTTCCATGTGGCCCAACACAAGAGTGTATGCAGGAAGCACTGAACAGCTCAGTGTTTCCTGCTGGCTTCACCATCGTCCTGTGGAGCAGCCACACCACACGTGAGTCGGTGCCATGGCAAAGCGGGTTACCTTGTCTTGGGCTGTAAGCGGCTTCACCTCCGCTGGGTGCGAAGGAGTCAGCTGTTCAGTTAGCGCTGGAAAGCTGTCTTCTAATATGGGCTCTTTGTTTTTCTCCTGTTTCAGTGCAATCTCTTTCCTGCAGCTATTGCAGAGAAAATAGACAATATACAGCAGAGAAAACAAAATGAATAATACAAATAGTCAATTGTATTAGTAAGCAAAGAAGTACCAATTAAAGCAGCCATGAGAAGCCATCATTTACTCGGATTTGCAAAGGCTAAAGAAGTGCCCAGGAATTGAGCATTCACACTTCCAGTCTGCCCATTCTCCGTCAGGAGCGATCTCATTTCCTGACGTCGAGGTCTGATTTTCACCTCAGACTCATACCTTTAGACACACTAGAAAGGCAAATCTCTTCTAGGCTCAGGACCACCACAGAGGTCCCGGGTGGGCTCCTGCTGTCATAGGCCCTGCGTTCTCCTGCATGCCACCCTAGCCCCTGCCCCAAGTCATTTGTCACAGCACATTCACAGTGGTCCTTTAAAAAATAGGCCAGTACCTCCCACGGCCCACCCATGTCTGCTTCACTTCTTACCTCCTCTCCAGCCTCCTCCTGTCAGGGACTCTTATACTTCCAGTCTTTCTGCTGAAGCCTCTCAGATCCCAGGGCTGGTTTTGTTCAACTGCCTGGGCTTCCCTTGAGCATCTGCCTTAGAATCTAGCCCCACTACGCCACCCACTCCTGCTGTCACTGTACCTCACACACCCTCTCGCCTTATTCATCACAGACCGATGATGAGGAGCCCACAGCCTCAGCAACTGCGCTGAATGTGTCTCAGGACAGTGACAATACCCCACCCAGATCCCCACAACAGACCTCGGATTTGCCCACCTCTACCTGGCACATGACTCAAATGTCTGGCAGGGGCGGAACAAATAGATTACATGCTTACAAATGTCAAAGCAATGTCATAGAGACACTCATTACCACAGCTTCAGACATGAAAAAGTTTTTATGGCATGTCCATTTTTATAAAAATCATATTTTTATATAATGGAGAAAATGGCTAGAAGAGCACGCATCAAAACACAAATGCAGATATAGTTGAATGATGGGCCCAGGGCTAACATTTATTTCTTCCTTATCTATATTTTCTAAAATCTGTAAAAGGAAACATATTGCTCACAATAATAGAAAAAAAAATTGAGGCCAGAGATACAGCTCAGTGGCATAAGTGCTTGCCTACCAAGGGCAAGGTCCCAAGTTTGGTTCTCATTACCGAAAAATTTTTAAAAAGAAGGAAAAAAAGAGAAGAAACTGTATTGTGAAATTCACAAAATAGAATAGTGTATAATCACAGTATATGAATATACCCAAGGAGGTCTATCAGTTTAAAAGTGATTGCTACAGGAAAAATAATTAATTTGGTTGTTACACAGCTGCACATTCACAAACCTCAGGCGTCTCTGAGTGACAGGGACCAGAACCCCACGTGATGCTTCACCCAGAGCCATCATCAGGCCCCATGTCTCTCAGGAGAGAGCTAAAGTGGGCCCCGGGACACCCTCTCTTCCCCCATGTCTATTTCCTATTTGTCCCTTCAGAGTGACCCCCAGCTCAATAGTTCATTTAAAGTGGAGGGAAAGGCACTGAAAAGAATTAATCCCGGCCTGCCCCGTGTGCTCGCACTCTTGAGCTGCTGCCCCGCAGGACCTGCAGGCACTCAGCTGAGGTTCCAAATGCAGGAAGAGGGGGTCTGGGTGGGAGAGGGCACACACACAGCTGAGGGAGGGCTGTGTCTGATGGCCTGGAGATACCTGGTGGCCCTGGAGCTTCTCTCATCCGCCCTTCTCAGTGGGCAAGCTTTAGCCTGTACTGTACCACGCTAGAGAGAGAGATCACACGCCCAGGAGTGAGCTTGTCCTCTTCCCCCGGCCCCCAGTGTAGGACCTGAACATACCTGGCTTGCTCCATGTCCCCGATGTACGTTGTGCCAACCACCTCTTCGTGGTGAGTGGCTGCATCGCGCAGCCTCAGATCAGAACACACCCGGGCGAGTCTGGGAAAAGCCGGAGAAGGAGGAGAAGAAGATGGCAGCCTGTTACAAAGGCTGCCATCCATCGCAAAAGCAACAGGTACTAGTGTTTGTGTCGGCACTAGACACGGATAGACAGAGAGAGAAATAATGTGCCCAAGTGATATTTTCAATACTTTTAAAAGGTAAGCAAAATTATTAGTGAAAAAATAACAGGTACTATCAGACTTCAGGTACAAATCTTTGAAATCATTCACGCATAGATTTTAGTCACTACATCATTTATAATGTCAATCATCTTCAGAGACAAAATAAGGCTCTCCCCAGGTCTGGCAGTGCTTCAGGCAGGAAGCTGTGACTTGAGTCTCATTTAAAACCCTTTCACTCAGACACAACTTTAGCTTTATAGAAAAGTCACCTAGACACCCCCAGGCAATTCCCCACAGCCTCAGTGTGAGCCCCTCACACCTCCTCTGTATTACGCCCTCCGCTCCACTTTCCCTTCTCCTAGACTTTGAGGGCAAATGGAAGATAAAACATTCCTTTTATCTTGAGCTACCTCAGTGCACGTTTCCTTAAAGCAAGGATACTCTCTAAGGAACAGGTAGAAAATTTAATATAAAAAGGCCATTTTTGCATTGAAGCATTTTGACTTCTCTAACTTACAAATCTGAGGGGATTTGTTATTTACACAAATTATCAATTCTGTCTCACAGTGCTGCTCGTCTTAGAATTTGTTGGGCATATTTTCACTCTAGCCGATCTATATTCCCTTGGACCTAAGGAGGGTACCAACCGAAGGTGATAGAGATCTTCCAGGGTTTTGCTCTCTACCACAGAGCTGGCGATGAGCACACCCAGCTGCAGGACTGGGATGGTGAGCTCAGGAAGTGACAGCTTCTGCAGGGCCTTGACCAAGTGGTCCAGGTAGTACAGGCTGCATGTCTACGAGAGCACACAGAAAACACATAAGGTCACAGGTGGCCAGGAGCACTGTCCCCCAGCTTTGGGCCAGCGCAGGGTCTAGCACACCACAGTTGCTCAGCAAGTATGGGTGGGATGAGGGGACAGTGTACACTCTTCCTTTCTCCCTCATTAGTAGCTTTCACAATGTCACATGTACTGTCCTGTAGTCATCAGCACCTGAGTATAAAGAGCCTCACTAGAGACATGCCCATTTATGCATTTATTCAATAAATTCATCTTTTAAAACAATTTTTAAAAATCTTTTTTATTTACGTATTTGGTACAGAGTCTCGCTATGCAGCTTGGATTTGTAGTGATCCTCCTGCTTTGACCTCCCCAGCACTAGGATTACAGGCATGCACCACCATGCCTGGTTTTGGCTGGCATGGTATGCCTGGGCTTCAGGGGCTGGCATGGCATGCAGAACCAGGGATAGAACTCAGGTCCTTGTGCTTGCCAGGCAGGTACTTAGACCACTGAGCTATCTCCCCTGCCAGTAGATTCATCTTTTGTTTCATTTTTCCATTAAAAGTTACTGATCCGCTGGGGAGATGGCTCAGTGGAATAAGTGCTTCTCTGGCAAGCACAAGGACCTGAGTTCAATCCCCAGTTCCACCAAAAAAAGAAAGAAAAGACAAGAAAAGTTACTGATCCTTCAAAAGTAGAGTGTTTGTTGTTTTTATACCCATACAACTGCTTTAAAATTTGACACATAGTAGATCTAAAGTTGCTTGTAATGCTGGACTATGCTTGTCAAAACAGTTACTTTTAAGTGGAAAGTTAGAAAAAAATTATAAATTATTTTAAAATTCTGATTCTAAGAACTGTAGAGTAAACAATGCAGGGAAAAAGTATCTGGGCCAAGATCTAGAAAATAACACAGGTAAGGGGAGTGTCCCAACTCTTACACACTGCAAAGGCTGGTGGCTGAGAGGTGGGGTGGTTTCCCACAGTGCTGCACACGCAGGCGAAGTTCTGGTGGACAGAAGATGGACATCTGACTTTATGCATAAAGGTTGAAAGTATGTACACCTTCTGGGAAATATTTTAAGAGAATATCTGTGTGACCTCCAAAGAAAAATAGGTTTTCTTTTTTAAAAAAGGGGGAGAGAAAGAAAGAAAAGAAGAAAAGGGGAACATGAAAACACTAATCACAAAGGAAAAGACACATTAGGTTACAACTATCATCTCTAGTTGTAAAAAGGCCCTATCAAGAGAGAAGAAAGGCAAATCATAAAGCAGGAGTTAACCTGCGATTCACATGACAGTCGTAATATTCTTTCTAAAATAGACTTTTCAATCAAGAAGAAAAAGATACAAAGTATAGGGGATGCACTGGGCAGGGGCTTTCACAGAAGAAATTGAGTGGCCAGTCAGAGAGAGCTGGAAAGGGGCTGGTGAGATAGCTCAGCAGCCTAAAGCGCCTGCTTAGGCAAGCTTAGGCAAGCGTGCAGGGACTGTGGTTCCATCCCTGGCACCACATGCCACACCAGCCCCGCCCCCAGGGTGGGCTGAGCCGGCTACACACACATACACACGTTGGGAAAAAAAAATTTAAGAAAGACTGAAAGTGCTGGAAACGTGTCCAACTTCACTGCAATCAGGGAATGCCCACTTAAGCTGTAGAGAGAAGCCAACCCATGTACTGAATATGGATTACAATGGGAAGGTGACGGCCACTGTGCTGGCAAGGTTGCTGGTAACAGGACTACCACAGAGAAGGGAAAGAAAGCCAGCATAACTGTCCTGAAAGACAATTTGGAAATGCTGAAATATTCACTATGGTTGGAAGTGTGCACATCCCGTAGCCCAGACAGCCTATCAGCAGTGTGCCTTCTAGACACACAGGCACTGAGACACGGGTACACAGATGCTCATGGGTGCTTCTTCTGCAAAGCCATGAATTGGGACCAACCCAACGGCCATCAACAGGTGAGGGACCGACAGAGAAGCTGAGACCTGTGTGCTGCAGCATGTAGAGTCCAGCGGTAAAAGGGGACACGCTATTGTGTCACAAAGGAGCGTGTGGGAGCCTTACACACATTACACCGAGTGAAAGAGGCTGAGCCAAAAGGTAGTATGATGAGTGATTCCATTTCTGTAAAGTTCCAAAACAGGCGGAACATACTGAGCTGACCAACTGCCCCTGAGGACCCTGGGTCCTAATCCTTGGAGCCTGGCTCGTATGGCAAGAGGACTGTGCACATATGACCAAGATAAGAATCCTTTTAGGTGTGCCCTACACGTAACCCATGGAGCTTTATAAGAGGGGATTAGACAGAGAAGAGAGGCCGTGTGACCACGAGGCTGAACTGGGGTGAGAGAACCTCCCCCCACTGACTCCATGACTTCTGTAGCTTCGGCCTCCCCATTTGTGGGACTTGTTTAGCAGAAATAAGATCCCAATGCAGACATGATGGGAGGTTTAGGAATGTGGAATTCCTGGGTGGTGAATGCAGGCAGAGGGACACGTCCCATGGATGCTGCAGTTGTTGGGGACAGAGGGCATCTTGAGTGGCAGCCAAAAGTGGTCTCTGCTTCCCTAAACTGGAGGTAAGAGACAGCTGTCCCCTTTCAACAATTTACTAGAGAAATGCCTGTTTAATATTCTGGCTGCACTGTAATAAAAACCCCAAGCGGAGGAGACAGTGCTGGCAAGGTGAGCTGTTGTGCAGCTCCCTCCCGCCCACTCACTGGCTTCTGGATGCTGGCAGAGTTCACCATGAAGTCACTTTTGTCTTGCTTGAATATAGACAGCAGCTCCTCAGGGCAGGAGTAGGAGGCCCATTCTTCTATGCTGGTTGGTAATTCTTCAAGCTGTTTGGTGGACCCTGGGGTCTGAGACTGAAGGAGAGAGTGGGGGGTTTACTTTAAAGAATGGAGTTCAGAACTGGATGCCTCAGTGGCCCAGCTGTGCAGTGGGCAGGCAGTGACTTCAAGAAGATGGTGCTCCTCCAGCACTGCCTTAGGGACAGTGATGGGTGACGCACACCTGCCCTCTCTCTGGAGCCCCATGGCACCACGGCACACAGGTTTTCTTTACGTAGCTGCCTTCCCTGCTTCCAACTCCAATGGGTGCCTCACCAGAGTTACACCTCACTTCTAATCACAGCTTCCAACCTCACGTCCAAGAGGTGACAAGCATACTTTCTGTCCTTGGCATTCAGGTCCCAGCACTCAGCCTCTGCAGACCTAAAGGGCGGGGCGTTGTGCACTTGGGCTTCATCCCAGAAGCCAGTGGGCTTCTGGCTCTGAAAGGCAGCAGATATGTGGGTTCTTAGACCCACTTTCACAGTGGGGACAGCCACTGTTTTCAGGGTATAATGTATCCCACGGGTGCTTTACAGGCTCCCGTGCAGGAAGAGGCCAGGACCCTGGGGCCCCAGTAGACTCTGCAGGTGCCCACAGCCTGAGTTAACAGATGAGTTGTATGTTTGGGCAAAGGCTGTGGGAAAAGGCCCACTCCAGGCACAGGGCAAACTACTGAGAACCATGCAGAGTGAAGTCACGGCCCACACTTTACGTAAGAGGAAGCGGACTCACAGCGGAGATCGTAAGTCCGGGAGCCTACAGCGGCCCTCACCCTCAGTCCCACTGCTGTGAGGATGCAACATGGTCCGCCCTACATCTTCGCCCCTCTCCATTACCTTCTCCTCTTTCCCTTTTTCCTTCCCTTTCTCCTTTTCCTTCAGCTTCTCATCCTTATCCTTTGTCTTCTCCTTTTCTTTTTCTTTCTCCTTTTCTTTAGTTTTCTCCTTCTCTTTCTTCAACAATGACAGCTGTGAACTGGATGCCGCTAGAAGCTTTTCTGAAATGGATTTTCCTCCTGTTAACAAAGAAACCTGGGTGGGGGGGATACGAAATCTGTCATGGCAGCATTGAAAGCAGACACAGCACCCACCTCCTGCCATACCTGGTTGGGAGGGAGCACCTGGGGCTGACGCTGTTGCTCAGCTCGGATCGTGGCTGGCAAGCCCCCTTGCAGAGCAGAGCTGACCCCTGCCAGAGGCTTAGTGCTCAGTGAGTGTGGAGCTCTTGCCCACAAGTACATGGGGACACAGGCTGCATTTCCCCCCGCGGAGACAACTGGATGCTCTCAGTTTGTAGGCTTCCTGTGGGCAAACTTATGACATTCTCTACAGGCCCACTTCTTGGGGGCCAGACCTGGACAGGGGCAATGGTGGCTTCCCCAGAGAGCTCTCTGTGGGTGGTGGCTGCAAAACATGGCAGGCCTTGGGCTGAGGCTGTGACAGAAGAAGGTTCTAGAAGCCTGGAGCTGTCAGACCATGAGGGGACAAGAAGACTTGGGCTGAGGCAGTGATGTTAGCTGTGACAGTTTTGGGGGGTGGCTGGGCAGGGTGCTAGGTAGGTTTTAGAGAGCAGGAGGGGCTGATTTGGAGCACACAGTGGTTTGATTCCTTTGAGGACCTCTGAGAATGTGGAGTGTGGCAGGGCTGGGAGAAATATTGATGGGCTAGTTAGGCAGGCAGGATGAATGTGGACATCATAGGACTGGTGTTTTCATCTCAGGAGTCTTTAGGAAAGACACTGGGAGAGGCTCTGATTTCTTTTAAGTTTCTTTAGGAAATAGCAAGTGTGAGTCCTACAGATTCTAGTCCCAGGAAGGGGAGAGTGGGGCAGTAGTGCCCTCCATGGAGCAGCTCAGCACCTCAGTTGGCTCACCTGCCAGATGCGCTTGAGAAGAGAGTACGCTATGAGGCAGTCGTCCTCGTAGGTGGAGGAGCTGGGAGACACCACCAGGGCACGCAGGATGTGGGCTCGGGCCAGGGTTTCCAACTGTTTCACGTTTTGTAACTGCTCCAAGGAGAACGTGTCCATGTCCGGGGTCACGGGAATTTCCACAGGTATCTGATCAGGTGAGGACTGCCCTGCACAACAGAGTTGCCCGTGGCTGAGGACAGGCTGGACTAACCATCTGGGTGCCAGGTAATCCCTCTCTTGCCTGGTGATTTGCCTAGATCAATCCAGTCACCTGTCCCTGCCAGGCCCTCCTGACCCTGTTGCGCTCCATGTCCTTTGCTGGTCCTGAGCTGGTCCCTCTCAGTGGACACCATCCTTGAAGGGGGTTCATCTGAGCAGTTCTTCCATCTTTCCCAGGCCTGAGAAATGAGAGGCCCATCTCCAGGGATGCAGGAGGCTGCTGGCCCCAGGTCTGGTGGGATGCTCAGCTGGGGTCCTGTGCCACTGTGGCCTGCCCTCGGGCTTCCTGAAGTGATGATCCAGGATTTGCTGCTGGGTTTTCCGCTTGGCTGGGTTGGGGTGGGCTCTGGGCCCTGACTTGCCTAGATGGATGCTGAGTGCATGGTCTGCATGTTTCTCTGTCACTCAGATGGGGTTGGTCTGTCCCTTGGCCTGCCCCTTATTCTACCTGACTTCTGCAAGCCCAAGTTAGAGGTGCTTCAGCACCCAGAGAAGGCATCTGTGGAGCCTGTCCTGAGGCCTGTGTCACCATACCCTGTTGCATGGGGCCTGTGACCTTCTGGGCTTGTCTGTCCTTCTGAGACTGTTGTCATTTTTTTTTTTTTAATTTTGTGTATTTGCTACAGGGTGTCACTATGCAGCTTGGACTCATAGTGAGCTTCCTGCTTCTGCCTTCCCAGCACTGGGATTACAGGCATGTACCACCACATCTGCTTTCGGTCGCTGACACAGTGCGCCTGGGTCCTTGTGCTTGCCAGGCAGTCACTTAGACTGCTGAGCTGTCTCCCTAGCCCCAAGACTGCTGTGCTGATGAGAGATTACAACTCCACCTCCCTGGTTAAGGCTGAGGTCTGCCACGCTTCACAGAGCTGCTCAGGTGCTGCCTGTCTGACTCCAGAGGCCCCTGGAATCTGCTCCTATTCTGGGGCCACCTTGGGCCCTGTGGCAATGGGCTGCCTCCCTATCTCACTCATACATCTCATCACTTCCCCAAAGACCTGGGGACTCTGAGAAGGACCCTCTGTCCATGATGACAGCAGGCTCAGGCCCAGTGACTACTAGGGCAGTGACCCTGATGAGACCAGCATTGTCCAGTACTGCTAGGAGACACCACAGAGCTCTGAGGGCCAGTCTTTCCTCTCTGAGTGCCACAGGGGTGACCAGTGGGCTCCCCTGGAGGTGGACACTCTGTCTGTGGTGAGGCTCCCTGTGTCTCCACCCTGCCCCTCACCATCAAACCTCCCCTTGCATCAGGCCCATTTCACTCCTCACCTGCGGGTATGGACAGGGCCCTGCCAGTCTGGAGTCTCACAAGGAGATTCTGAAGTGGGTCTGCATCGATCATGGGAATGTGTGAAGACCTCCAGTCTAGGCGCTTGGAACACTTACTCCTGCAGCCCTCCAGGGAGGCGGCCTCTAGAGCAGTGGCCCACTGAGTGGGTCACTCCTCATGCCTCCCACTAAGACCTGAGCCTGCCTGTGAATATAATCTGATACGGGGGAGGCCTGCTTGCTTCCTGCCCATCCAGGCACTGTGGAGGTGGAGCAAGGCCCGCCTCCCAAGTTCATAGAGAGCTTCTCACGTTCAACGTGGCACTGGGTCCGTGCTTTGCTGTGGCTATGGTCTTCTTGTGTCAACTTGAGGAGTCTACAAGTTCAGCTAAGTGATTCATCAGTGGGCCAGGTCCTTACTTTGTAAACATCCTCAGCTCGTGGAAGAGGAGGGCACAGAGATGGTGTGGGCCTGGGGAGACAGCCCATGTACAGCACGAGGGAGGTAAGGAGGCTTGCTTGCTCCCCTTTTTGCTCTTGTTGTTTTTGACGTCTTCTGTCACCTTGGACTGTTGCCCCTGTGCCGTGCCACCCTGTCTTGGAGCCAGCTGATTGCAGACTGAAACCTCCACACACTGCCAGCCAAATAAACTTTTTCTTTCCTTAATTCTGGGCATTTGATATTTTGTCTCAGCAATGAGAAAAAAGTAACCAAGATAGTTGTTTACAATAGAAAATTCCTTGAACACAGAATAGGTGTGGTCACCCCAGGACAATGGCCACCCTGCAAAGTTGAAGGGATCTGGGGAGGCACTCTTACCTTCTGGTGCAGGTTCCACCTTGGGGACATCGCCCGAGGGTTTCATGGCCAGCAGGATCTCAATGGCCCATGTGAGCTGGGCGACCACATCTTCAAGAGGAAACTGCTTGTGGTACAGCCACTCACTGAACTCCATGATGTAGTCAACCTTTTGCCACTCACTCTCTGGTTTCTTTGGGACAGGACAGAAAAGCATGATGAACGGTCTGCCCCGCGGGAATGATCTGCAGCATGAACCATTCTGCCAGGCCTTGACACCACGTGCTGGAAAACACCTCTAAGGTTGTGTCATCAAGCTCTTGGAGGTCTCTAATTGTAGACAAAGGTATGGTAGGAGGTCCTCCAGCCCTTGGTTCTGCTACACACACACACACACACACACACACACACACACACAGTGTCTCTTGTACCACAAGGATGAGGATGCCATGCAGGGCTCTAACAAAGTAGCCTTGTGTATATGAGTCTTGGCCTGGATGGTTTGGGAGTTAGACTCGTTTCCCAAGGGAAAAAGGGAAAGGAAGAGGTGGCCCAAGTCTTTGTGCAGAGCACATTCAGCTCATGACGGCTGCACAACTTAGCCTCCCTCCCTCGCTCACACACAGAGATCCACCCCAGCTCTGAGCTGGGGCTAACATATGGTGCACTGGATCTTTTACATCCTACCTTCCCTCCCAGGCCTCTTCTGGGCTAAGGCACTGCAGCTGGTGTTTGATAAGGAACTACCATACAGGATACATAATGAACTCTTCCAACTCAGTGATGTAAAGACAAGTAACTGGGTTTTAAAAATGAGCCAAGATACTTCTGTGAAGGTGGTGGAGCAGTAAGCACAATAAATTAGCCTCTCTGATATTCAGAATCTGGACCCTGGAATGTAACAACCTGGAGAAGAAGAGAAGGAGGGAGGTGGATCTCTGGGACCCAGGAAGGCTCTGAAAGGAAAATTGAAGCTTATAGAGAATCTGAAGAGTCAGCTCACGACACAGAAACAAGATAAGGGCAATCTGCACTTTTCCCTGACTCCTAGCTTGTGCTAACAGCAAGGAAGATCAATGTACAGAGATGCAGTGGAAGTGGATGACTCCAGAGGCTTTGAGGAAAAAATGCACCAGTGGAACACAGTGGTCAGTGCTACACACTGCGACAGCTGCTGAGTGACAGATGGTCAGATATCCCTTCAGAGAGCAGCCAACCCAACCTGAGACTCAGAGCAGCTGCAGGATGACTTTCTCTCAGGGATTCCAGTGTTAATACCCATTGTGACTGGGTGAAGGACATCCATGGGAGATGTCAATGATCAGGAAGCTATGGTCAGGCTGGTAAGAAACACCTAGAATGTTACAAGCTAAATGATGCAGGGCCCACCCCTATGACTGGATGTAAAATTCCCAGTCCAGCACCCTGGCCTAATCCTACTCCCAGCCTGCTGGGATTATCCACTATGGATCTGGGATCTGGCTGTCTCCACTGTCTAACAGTGAGAGCAGAGTCACCTGGAATTGGACTCTGCCACAGAACTGTAGACGATAACCACAGGTGTGAAACCACAGAGGGATTTCTCTATTATTTATATTTTTTTGCTTGGGTCTTAAAACATTTTTCTGCTCATTTCATTTTTGCGGGGAGATTGCTTGTTTTAATTTTTTGTGTGAACACTCTTTTTAGTTGCTTTGTTTTTGCTTTCTCCTCCTTTCTTTCCCTCCTGTCTTCATCAGTTTGCTGAGGCCTAGATAATCTTCCTTTGTCCTTCAGCCTTGTTTGTAATCTTTGTTTCTAATTTCATTTTTCTATTTTTACCTCTTCTATTTTTAAGTTTTCTCCCCATAGGGTAAATTGCTCCATTGAGTGGATATCTACTATAGATAATTTCCTGATCTGTTTTATGTTTTGTTATATAATATAAATCTTGTGCTAGGGTTAAAGGTAGCAAATTATTTTAGTCCTCAGAATATCATTTTCTAGCCTGTGCTTATGCTATTGCTATTACTGGTTGTACCACTTCACCGAAGGTGATACTGTGCTGTGATCAATTGTCTTCCTATGTGCCAACATCTAGGCAGCCTCAGGTTGTCATAGTACAGTCCAGGGCCAAAGACCTGGGTGCAAGGCCAAGCAGGCCACAAGCTTTCATTCCTAGTCAAAAGAAGGAGCAGGATCCTGGGAAAGACTCAAAAGCCAAAAGCTAGTTACACTTAGAAAACATCTCTGAAAAGTAGTCATTGCCCTAAGAGGTCTTGATACTAGTAACAAAGCTACCTACCATGAGCGATTCACAAGCTTCAATACAGAAAACAAAAAAGAGGGAGAAAAACATGGAAGCAAGGTGCAACCCAATGCCCCCTACTCAAACAAACAAACAAACAAACAAACAAACAAACAAACCCAGAGGCACTGGGGTGTCAGAGACTAAGAGCTACCAGCTCAGCTTTCTGAGATGGTGATAATTCAAGTAGCAGAGCAAATGAGTAACTCCCTTAAGAAAGCCAAAGCAGAAATAATTACACAGATAATTAAAGAGATGATGACCATAATGAAGGGGACGCTTAGTGGAACTAGAGTAGATACAGATAAACAGATAGAGGAGTTTAGGAAGATGATGGAAAGCACGAATGTCCAACATAGGAGAGAACTGGATGCCATAAAACATGTTCAAAGAGATATTTGTGGTATTAAAAATCCTATTGAAAGTATACACAGCAGAACGAACCAATGTGAATACAGAGTATTAGATCTAGAAGACAGGTTTGTGGTTTGAGATTATTAAATGAATAACTTTTTAAAAATAGCTAGGGGCCACAAAAAACCCCCAAAACTGCTAGATGATACAAAAAAGAATAATACATGATTGATTGAAATCAATGAAAATTCCTAAGCTAGCACAAAGGACATAAAACTTTATTCACAGATGTAAGAGCAGAAAGCTTTGCAAGCATGAAAAAAATGTACATATAAATTACTGGGGCTTACAGAACCCAAATTAACCATGATGAGAAATAAAACCAATACAAAGGAATACAACAGTGTAGAGTCCAAAATTTCAACATAAGAACAGTATATTAAAAGCTGTTAGAGAAAAATAAACAAATCACTTAAAAGAGAAACCCATCAGAATTCACAGCATACTTCTTAACACAAACCTTTAGGAGCTTGGAGCAAAGTCTTTTAAGCCTAAAAGAAAACAACCCCCAATCCACAAAGTTATCTTTCAACATTGATGGAGAAATAAGATATTTCTGTGACAAAGACACTTAAAGAAATTCATGGCTACCAAACCAGTACTCCAAAAAATTCTAGGACAATAGTCTAGTTCTAGTTCCTAGACAATGGTCTAGGAAAATACAGTAATTTTAAAAAGCCAAATGGAGTGAATTCACTAGGTGAGATACAGAATTAAATAAGGGGGAAAGAAAAGGAACCAAGAACAAGAAAACAGTATAATGATAAGGCTATGCCAGCACTATCAGTTATAGCCACCAATGCAAATGGTCTCCATTCACCAATCGGAAGAAACAGACAGGCAGAGCGGATCAAGAAACAAGATACAAAATGCGATGCATACAAGCAATAGATTTAACTCAAACAAAAATTCATAGACAGAAAGTCAAGGGATGGAAAATAATACTCCGTGTGAGAGGAACCCATAAACAAAGCAGGGGTAGACATTCTGTTTGCAGACAAAGTAGGGTTCAAGCCAAGATTGATCAGAAGAGACAAAGAAGGTCACCATATACTTGTTAAGGGATCAATAAGGAAGAGAGAACAGTAAGAAATGTACATCCCTCAAGTATCAGTGCACCCAATTATATAAAATAAACACTGATGGGTATGGAAATCAGATAGGCAGTAATATAAATGTAACACAGGACTTCAGTACTCCACTGTCACAAAGAGATTAGACAAAAAATCAACAAAGAAATATCAGAGATGAACCAAACCTTTGGACAAGTAGACTGAATTAAATATCTATGGAACATTCCATCCCACAACAACAGAATACACGTGCTTCTCAGCAGTACATGGGACTTTTTTCAAAAAACGCTGTATACTAGCTCACAGAATATGCTTAAGTAAATGCAAAGGAACTGAAAGTATTCCATGCACATTAAGGGAACATAGTGCAAAGAAATGGAAAAACAATGGCAAAAGAAACCACAAAACCTGCATAAGCAATACCCTTCTGAACAACCAGTAAGTGACAGATGAAACTAAAGAAGAAAGAAGTTAGACAGGTTCTACAATTGAACAATAATGCTGGTATGGCATATTGGAATGTGTGTGATGCAATGAAAGCAGTCCTACAAGGGAAATTTATAGCAGTGAATTTCCACATCAGAAAAATAGAGTGAGTTAAAATAAAGAACTTAATATCAAGACTCAAATTTCTAGAAAAAAAAAAAACAAGACCAATTATTTAAAGGTGGGATGACCAAAAGTTGCATTTTTAAAATTATTTTATAAAATAACATAAGAAAAAATATAAAAATAACAAATTTAGGGCCGGCCAGATAGCTCAGCAGACTAAAGTGCCTGCTTAGGCAGAATGCAGCTACTGGGGTTTGATCCTCGGCATGCCGTGCCTGCCCCACTCCCAGGGCGCACTGAGACAGTGATTGAGGCAGGGTGTGATGGTGTGTACCTGTAATCTCAGTGCTTCAGACGCTGAAAACAGGAGAATCACTACGAGTCCGATCTACATAGTGAGACCCTGTAGGTCCTGCACCAAATACATTTGTGTGTGTGTGTGTACTTTTTAGGGAAGGGTCTACAGTGTGTTCAGGGTCTCACTACTAGATCAGACTCACAGTGATCTGCACAGGTAGATCAGCCTCAAAAGGCTGTACACAGTACAGCCTCTCAAGAGCTGGGATTACAGTTGTGCACCACCATGCCCAGTCTCAATTGCCATTTCAGCATGCTCCAGGGGCAGGACTGGCATGGCAGGCCTGGGGATTGAACCCCTGGTCCCTGTTCCTGCTTGCAGGCACTTTAATCTACTGAGCTATTTGGCCAGCCCTCAAATACATTTTTTTGAAAAAGACAATTTTATCAAACTTATTCAGTACAAGAATCAACTGGTTGAAATGACATGTACCCAAGTGATGGTTAGCATAGTCAGTACATAAACCAATGTGGTAGGAATCAATGGTTAAATGGTTAAGCCCAAACTCATAGGAGGAAGGAAAGGATGAAGATTAGAGCAGAAATTAATGCAACTGGGACTAACAATACAAAGAATCAATCAAAGAGTTGACTCTTTGAAAGATTAAATAAAATAGACAAACCTTTAGCCAACCTTAGCAAAAAAGGAAAGACCCAAATCCACACAATGAGAAATGAAAAGTGAGAAGCTACGATGATTCTGAAGAATCTAGAAGATCATTAATACCTCCTTTGTGAAGGATCTGAATAGACATTTCTCCAAAGAAGACACACAAATGGCTGAATTGTCTCTGAAAAGACAGCTGATGTCTTTAGACATGAGGAAAATGCAAAGCAAAACACAATTTCCTTACCCTCTAAGATTGCTGAGTGCAGGTAACGCCACATGGTGGGCAAGGTGTGGGGGAACATAATGGGGTACAGCCACTGAAGACATTGCATATGGTACCTCAAGCAGTTAGACACCTCCACATGTAACCCAATGATTCCACTTATAGATTAGAAGCGACAAAATATTTATGGCATAACTCCAAATGCTATCAGTGGACTAATGGGTATGCAAAATGTATGTATGTTTATAGGATATTATTTTGATTTGAAAAGAAATATGGGTCAGATACAAGCTACAGTGAGAATGAAACTTGATAACACAGTTGTCAGGGAAAGAAGCCAGACCCAAAGATTACCAAGTAGTTGATTCCATCTAAGTGTAATGTCTAGAACAGGTGACCACAGAGATGGAGTGGGGATGGGGGTGAGTTCTAATGGACACTAATTTGGGTGCTATGAAATGTCCTAAAACTGACTGTGATGATGGTTGGATAGCCCTGAGAATCTACCAAAAATCACTGTACCCAAGAAAAGAAATAATGGAAAGAGGAGACAAAATATTTAAGTTGGAGAGGACAGACCTCTTCCAGAGGAGGCCCGGCATGCAGGCCTCTCTGCCCTTCTTAGGGATGAGGCTTCTGCTCCTCTGCAGGAGACTGATCATCACCTGACCTCCATTCCCTGAAGATCAGCAGGGAAACTGCAAGGAAGGCCAGCACTGGACTTCCACTCACAGGAGTGCCCAGGCCTGTGTCGACCCCCCATGCCAAGGTGGGCCCTCATGGAACAAATGGCAGAGCCATCTGGACCTGGGCAGCCTCTTGGCCAGGCTCTGCCCCACCTTGTCCTGGGCCACCTGGGCCCTGTGGGAGCTCAGGGCTCAGCATGGAGTGTGCTCAGGGTCCTGGAAATATAGGCCCTTGTGCTAGCCAGGGAAGCACTTATTCCACTGAGCCATCTCCCCTGCCCACCTTTCAAGGCTTTGACTAATGGTTCAGACCTTTCTCTTGGATGCCTGAGACACCTTTAGTGCCTCCTACTGGGTCCTCAGGTGAATCCTCCTGGGCCTTAACCACCTTTCTCACCCACCCCAACCACAGAGTGAGTGGAATGTCTATCTGCCTCTCTTGTTGGGGGGCAAATGTCCTCAGTACCCTAAAGTCTAGAGTGTGGCTTTCAGAGCCCTGTCCACTAAGCAGCTCCAGCCTCCCAGGAAGATGGCTTGTCCACCCTACCCTGTCTCTGTTCAGCCTCTTTTATGTTTGGGAAGGATGACGTAGGGCACATCAGCCCACAGTCCCTGGTTGTCGTTGAAGGAAGACCCCCAGCTGTCCTGGGGCTCCCTCAGCTGTGGCTCCCATGAGTGTCCACCAGCAAATCCTAAACCCATGGACGTCTCTGTCACTAGGAGATGAGTCTTTGCCACAATTACACAACTTGACAAGATGCCAACCTGCAGTGCTTGGATTGCGTTGTGATAACACGTCAGCTCTCCATGAACATTCTTGGAGTTCAGGGCCAGGCGGTGCCACATGTGTGCCAAATAGTCTTCACTTTCATCCTTGAACTTTTGGATCTCCATGGTAAAATTCTGGCCAAGTTTGGCCTTCACAATGATCATATGTTTGAAAATCAAGCTAGAGAAGAGCCAAAGAGAGAAATTAATGCTCCAATGGAATGATAAACGTTTAAGTGTCCAGCCCAGCTTGGTGGTGCAGGCCTGTCATCCCAGCACTCGAGAAGCTGAGATAGAATCACTGTGAGTTTGAGGCCAGCCCAGGCTACAGAGTGAGACTCTGTCTCAAAAACAAACAAACAAAACAAACCCTAAGCATACATAAAATATTGAGAATTCAATTTGTCCATGTTTCTGCCTACAAGGATAAAACCAGATGGAGACAGAGCTTGGGTTTTTGGCACCATTTGTTCTCTGTTTTTGTTGAATTTCTACTTGGGAGGTGGTGTCCTTCAGTGGAATGGGCAGGTTGGGGAGCCCAGGGATGGGGAGGGAGGGGATCAGTGCAGGGAACACTTGGGTGGGTGAAGGGGGCAGGCACTCACAGGCGATGGGCAGTTCGGGGCAGCACCTGCACAGCCTCGTCCAGCACCTTGAGGCCAGCCTCCCAGTTGTCCTGGTCAGCGTGGATATGGAAGAGCAGTCCGTAGAGTGCAACACGGAGTGTGAGGTCGTCCTCGGTGCCTGGGACAGGGAGGAGAGCCTGAGGAAGGGCTGGGATGCCGGACTCCTTGCTACCTGATGCCTTCTGATGCCTGAGCTCCTGGGCTCCACTGTGGCACAGTCCTCGTGACTTGGAGCCTTGGACCTTCAGTGCAAGGTGAGGCCCACAGGGCTGGTTTGAAGGGTGGGCCATGTGTCCCCTGTCTTTCGCCTCCCGCCAGCCTGGGCAGTCTAGGTCTGAGGGAAGCAGTCCCTCAAGCATACTGGTTGGTCTCTGCCACCAGAGACGCCTCTCCATCAGTTTTAGCAGAAGCAATGTGGCTTTGGGGAGTGTGAAAGGCTAGTACACGGGACACCAGGCATTGTGTGCTTTGCTGTAGCACGGAGGCTGCCAGCACCGCCTCACACTTGCCGCTTTCTAGATCTGAGGCTGCAGAAACCTGACACCCACGTCCTGCTTTCACAGGCACGGGGAGGCGCTGCGCTGCTGGAGGCAAGGAGATAAGCAACAGGAGGGGCTCAGGGGGACAGCAGCTGAGGCGACTGGCCCTCAAGTCTAACTCAGTACCTGTTACACCAGGACCAGCGTGGCCGAGGCATGCAGGACCTGCCTTTTAGTCCAGGCCCATCATGGTTTTCCCGTAAAGCTCTGGCCCTCTCCACCAGCAGCAGCTCCACGAGCTGGACTTGGGAAGCTCGGGACAGTGGCAGGGGGAGGCCCTGGGTGCTGCCTTCCGAGTGCACACTGAGCTTCCCACAGTCCCCACGAAAAGCATCAAATGGGCCTGTGGTTGGCGTGGCTTGCGGCGAAGGCTTCATACAAGGGCACCGGATGTGACAGCACTAAAGACTCAACTTGTGCCAAGCCCTCCCTCCCTGGCCTGAGTCTGGGGCCGCTCGGCCCTATTCCTGCCCACCTGGAAGGAAATGGCCTTCAGCCGCCGTCCCACCAATCTGCAGGTCTGCTGTGGGCCACTGGTGCAGCAGCAGTGTCTGCCCTTTCTCCTGGAGGAAGATGAACCCACGCATGTGGGAGGCCGCAGTGTCCCCCACCGTTTTGCCTTCGTTAGTGTCTATAATAATTTATAGGCGTTGCACTGAAACTTAGAAGTACCGAGTCATAAAAGCTAAGTCCTATTTCACCCACACAGACGGGATCCTCAGTGCCAGGTTAGGCACACAACACACTGTGCTACACACACACACACACACACACATACTGCATCACATAACACACCACACAAGACACACTACAAATACAACACATAGCATGTACACATACTATGGATATATTCTACACACAACCACACCATAAATGTACCGTATACACCATACACATATGCCAAGCATACACTGTACCATGTACGTCATACACATATACCGCATACATACCACACACCATATATACCACATCATACATCACACACACTACATACAAATTGCACACAACAGGCACATACCTCGCCATACACATACACATACACATA